TCCAGGGTGTCCCCTGCCCTGTGCCCTGTGATAGACTGGCACCCCGTCCAGGGTGTCCCCTGCATGTTTGTACGTGTCTCTCAGTTACACTCTTGGGGATTCTCTTCTCATCAGCTTCAAGATGCGGAGAAAAGGAAGTGCCGGTAATTAAAGGTCCTTAATGTGCTAAGTGTTGTTTTTCAACATGTTGAACTAATTTTATGTTTAACAAGCTTAAGTTTGGCGCAGTAGTGGGAAAAAGGAATTCACAGCTGATCACTGCGTGGTTAGAGTAAAATTAATAGTAACTACAATACTGTGACTATGTATATATATATATATATATATATATATATGTGTGTGTGTGTGTATTTTTCTTCTTCTGACTTATGAGAGGCCACACACACACACGTTTGTGTTCATATCTTTGTGGGGACTCCCCATTCATATCTCTGGACATAAACCTAATCCCAACATGACAACCTTAACCCCTACCCAGCCCTAACCTTAACCACAAGTAACCAAACAACATGAAAAACTTAACATTTTTTATTTTTTGATTGCATTCACAGATTTTTTATAAAATTGAGCTTTATATTGTGGGGACCTGAAAAAATGGTTCTCACACGCTAAAAAGTAACAGGTTTTTGCACATTCTGGGAACATTTGGTCCCCACATTAAAATACCCCCCCCCTCCTACACACACACACACACACACTCATACTCTGAGGCTATTTAGAGACGCCAGTTTGCCCAACTGCATGTCTTTTGATTGTGGGATGAAATCGGAGAACCCAGTGGAAACCTGCACAATACAAGGAGAACATGCAAACTCCACACACACAGAGGCGAGATTCAAACCCCCAACCTGGAGACGTGAGTCAACAGCGCCCCCCACTGAGATGCCTTTACAGAAACATGGAATTTGCAGAACGATATTACCCGAGATAAAATCACTGATGCAATTCAAAATTTCAAATGTGAATTATATAATAATAATAATAATAATATCCAGAGTATGAGGAAAAGTAGTTATTTTTGTTGCTTCTTTTTAAATGTAATCCTCTGAGGATGGGTCCCTTTTAAATCGTGTTCTTTATTAACACGTTGTGCCTTAATTAGCTAATAGGATAGTTTCAACAATGACCCAAAATAGGCACAGCCGGGGGGGAGGGGGAGCAGATGCGTGTGCTTCTCCATCCGTGAACCCGCCGCGGGTATCTGGCAAAAAATGCCGATGTGCCAACCTGGCGCGGCGGTGACAACGTGACCCGCGGGTTAATTCTCCCTGTAGGAGCAAATCGCACCGCCGGTCGGCGCGGCGGAGCCCCCTGCTGGGGGAGTTTCTGGATGCCTGCGGTGGTTGCAGCGTTAGCCTTATCATCAGAGGGGGTTCTGGGCCAGCCCGGTCTGCTGCCCCTGCTCTATCTAGGTCCGCTTAGCGCTGTGCCCCGATTTGCTCTACTGGTGGATGATGTAATTTCCCTTTTTTTTAAATTTTTTTAAAGGAAAAAAAAAAACTTTTAAATACGGAGCTATAAATGGTCATACATACCTGACTGTCCTTCACGTGCGTGTGTCCCCTGCTCTGAGTGTGGGCTGCGCGGGCGGGCTGAGCGCTTGCGCAGGTGTGCGCGCGTTCCCGAATAGTATGCGTGGCAGCGGCAGTATTTTACAATGACAGCGTGTACGTTAAAACGACTGCATACTTCAGAGTGGCAGTGCATGCGTTAAAGCGAGCGCGTGTGTGTTAAAATGACACTTTGTACGTTAAAGTGACAGAGCTATTTCAAAATGAAAGTGCATACGTTAAAGTGACAAGCCTGCTTTTAAGTGACAGTGTATACATTAAAGCAACAGTGCGCGTGTTAAAGTGACAGTGCATACATTAAAGCGACATGGCATAAGTAAATGTGACGGTTCGTACATTAAAGTGCGTACTTATGATGTATAACGCTGCCTCCCTTCCCTCCCGGACCAGGCTGGACGGCGCGATTCTCGCAGGAGCCAGCGGACCAGTCGGTGGTCCTGGGTGAGACAGTGGTCCTGTCCTGCGTGGTCTTCAACTACTCCGGCATCGTGCAATGGACCAAGGACGGACTGGCGTTAGGCATCGGGGAGGACCTGCGAGGTGGGTCACATTCGCCTGTCACATCCTTGCCTACCCCCCCTCCATTAATAGCATCACTGTTTCACTGTTGTAACTGACAATAACACATGTAATATCTCAGTTCGCTTGTTCCACTTTTGCTTATTTTGCCTGTAGAAATATTGACCCAAACTGAAATGCGTGTATATGTCAGAGGGATAGAGGAATGCATGTTTGTCTCTGTATGTAAAAGACAGAAAACCCTCATCCCAGCTCCGCCCTCCCTGGGAACACATCAGTTCACACATTCACATGTTTTCAGGCTTCAGTTCAATAAAGGTCAGCTCCCACCGCCTCGCTCTCTCACCCGCTCCACTCCGGCTCTTTCTCTATCTCCCTCCTCCCTTCTTTTTCTCCTCTCCGCCGGCAGAGGCGAGTTGCTTTCTCTCGTATCGAGGTTAACATTCCCAGTCGAAGCTGGGAAACGGGACACGCGCTTCGGAATTCCCGAATCAGGCATCCCGTGTCCTGTGTGATCCCAGGCCACTTCACTGCCAGGCTGAAACCCGTCGTTTGAGGAAGACATAGCCGATACGGAGCTCTTTATTACACGCCAAAGTCACGAACACTGATAATGAGTGTAATGTCTTTAAAGACGCGGATTTGAAGTACTGAGTAATGTTACATGCATTTTTATCCCCGTTTTTTTTCTGCATCGGCTAAAAATATAAAAATGGTGCAGTAAGCCAAACACGCAAAAGACATGGTCCTAACATGACATGTCCCACCTTAGTTAAGCTGCATTCCTATATGGTCACGCATTAAAGGAGCACACACGTGACACACGAGCAGCCCAATTCTAGGAGCGTTCCTCGCCTAGCACACAGCCCCGGGTTACGCACCGGAGCATTTAACCTCTATCGGATCAGGAGGACACGGAGACTGTGTCAGCGCTTCCTGGTTGGTGGAGACATAGGTGATGTAATCTGTACCAATACTTCTGTCCCCTTCAGAATCTAAGGCGATGATGTCACCGGCCGCGGGTATTGATAGCATCAGAATGTAGAACGTGTTTGCCACCTGGTGGGAGGATTGAGCCAGAACGCATGGCTGTGGGTAGTCGGGGGGCTCCCGCCTGCGCAGACGCAGACTAGCCACGTGTGTGTGAGATACCATCGGTGATGAGTGCTCCTCTCTGCCCCCCGCAGCCTGGCCCAGGTATCGCGTGCTGCGCAAGGTGGACTTGGGCCAGTACAACCTGGAGATCTCGGCGGCGGAGCTGTCTGACGACTCTCTGTACGAGTGTCAGGCCACTGAGGCTGCGCTGCGCTCCCGGCGAGCCAAACTCACCGTGCTCAGTAGGTGTCCGGCCACCGGCCCTGTCTGTGCTTTGTGTGTCCCTGTGTGCCTGTGTCTCTGTCCCTGTGTATGTGTCCCCGTTTGTCTGTATGACTGTCCCTGTGTGTCTGTCCAGCTCTCTGTGTCCCTGTGTGCCTGTGTCTCTGTCCCTGTGTGTGTGTCCCCGTGTGTCTGAATGACTGTCCCTGTGTGCCTGTCCAGCTCTCTGTGTCCCCTGTGTGTCTGTGTGTGTCCCTGTGTATGTGTCCCAGTGTATGTCCCTGTGTGTCTGTGTATGTGTCACCGTATGGGGGTGATGCAAAAATGGTTAGCAAATACTGTCCTAAAGATAGTAAAGTTTGAAAAACAGATATTGTCTCTCTGCCACCACAAAACAAATGCCTTATTAAACATACTTTTTTAAAGTCAATTATTTTTATTGTCACAGCATATTTTAAGTAAATTATTTTTATTATCATAACCTATTTTGAGTAATTTATTTTTATTATCATAACCTTTATTAAGTAAATTATTTTTGTTTCTATAACCTTTTTATTTGTTTTCTTTTTTTGTTTTTGCACTTTGCTTGAATGGGGTTAGGAGTCAAATGAATTAATGAAAGAAAGCGACAGTGTAGCACAGTGTGTGTGTGTGTGTGTGTGTGTGTGTCACTGCTCCCAGCTCACTTCACTGTCACCCCCCCAGTCCCTCCAGAAGAGCCTGTGATTGAGGGGGGTCCGGAGATCCTGCTCACTGCAGGCGTCACCTACAACCTGAGCTGCGTCTCACGGGGGGCAAAACCCCAGGCCCTCATCGAGTGGCAGAAGGACGGCCTGCCGGTGCCCGGGGGCATCAGCGTCACTGTGAGTCAGGGGCCCACCGCCTTCGTGCACGGGGACCACGGGGACACAAACGTGCGAGTGAGGATGACAGAGCAGGGGCCCACGAGAAAGCACGATTAAAGGTCACGCTCTGGGGTACAACGGGAAAATCACTCTCCCGATCATGGGATTCGAACCGGCGACCTTCCCCCAGAGTCACACGCCATAAACATCACCTCACCCCAGTCTGTAATGTAAACAAAGACTGACTCCTTCTAATGTGTAAGAAAATGAATGTAGTGTTAGATAGGTCAACAGTCATCCTGTAACAGTAACGTTGAAGCTGGTTAATTGATTTGCATGTTTGGGGATCACACGCCGTTAAGGTTAATTAATGAGCTCGTCTTTCTTTAATAGCTGTTATCAGTTGTTGCCTCTGATAAGGAGCGTATTTGTGAAGCTTCTCCCAGGGGCCCGATGTGTTGATGATATTTTGTTTATCTGGGAAAACAGGCAGGATCTGTGAGTCGGGACCGACTTCAGTCGTGTCCCCTGTTCTTATCGCCTCTCCGAGGTCAAACTCCCCTGTTTGTTACCGTAACTATATTGCCGGTTTCAAGCCTAACCCGCCACTATCAAATTAAGTGTTTTAAAGAAGTTTGAGGCCTACTGTCAGTGATGGAAAGTGTCCAAAACTGTGCCTTTCCTCATGGGTCTGAGAGATGAAGCCGTCAAAGTGATGATGAAGCTGTCACACAGGGACATTTTGAAGTTCTAGGGGTGTAACTAAGTTCCGTGTGAGCTGTCGGAGATCTCTGTGTTTTACTTACTTATCTGCTAGCATTAGGGAGTAATTCTTTTATCCGTTTAGTTGCAGGTTAACTTTAACAACTGTTGCATCTCCTGTAGCTCTTTATGCACTATGGGGTCAGGGTGACCATGTCGGCTATCCTTGTAAACACAGTTGCATCATACTCCCTGGATTGAATGCCAGTTTTCACACTTAGTCACACACTGTGGGAAGACGCCTGGTCACCTGACCACACATTCTTGTGGTGTGAGAAGAAATGTTGACCTGTCATCAATCCGTCCACCTTCTAACTGATTATCTTGGTCACGGTTGCAGGCGTGTAGTAAATCGCCCTGTGAAAAATGTCTTTGATTAAAGGTTTAAGAAGCAAAGTATAGCACACATCCACCAACTCCAGCAATTGTACTGGTTTAGAAGCAAACTCTCTGCGCATTCGCTCACCTGTGTCAGGTGACGTACTGCTAGGGTGATGATTGGCTGTTGTCTCAGAGCTTCCCCGAGGTAATTGGTTGAGTTAATAGGCCCTCTGCATGTGACCTTGACAGTGAGCTCCCATGTTGAAGAGGCTACATCAGTGTCACATGTTAAAGTACCTGAAGCAGAAACATGTCCTTATAGGTATCAGGGGCTGAACTTTGCCGTGGGGCCCTCCCTGGGTACTATACCCCACTGCCAATGGGATCGCGCCATATGCCAGTCTGTACCCAGTAGGGGGGTGCTAGCCCATGAGCGACGTTTGCTTGGGTCCGTACCGATTGGCCGCAGTCACCGCGAGCCACACCCCATGTGACCGTCCCACGGCTACACACTGCAAGATCCCGCGGACAAGCTGCCCCCCCCCAAACCTGACCCTGAGCGCCAGGTGACTGCGTGCAGACTGCTGGCTGAGCCCGGCTTGGCATGAATAATTCACAGCAGGATGCTTCTCTCTCTCTCTCTCCCTCCCTCCTTCGCTTTCTCTCTCGCTATCTCTCTCTCTCTCTCTCTCTGGCTGGCCAGCCATCTCCTTTGCCAGTTAGCACAGGAGGAGGTTCTTACACAGCCCCCCCACATGATATCCCCACAGCCCCCACCTTGCCGCCTGCTTGGGGGAGCGTTTAGGAGTCCTGGCGCCTCCCTGCCTGTCCTGACTTTGATGCCTCCTCCCTCCCCCCTGGTGTTTCCTCCAGGAGGTGCTCCATGACAGGAAGAGGGTGACCACCCGCAGCTTCCTGTCCATCGTGCCGACCGACACTGATACGGGCCACAACTTCAGCTGTGTGGCCACCAACCTGGCCGTGCCCAAGGGCAAGCGCACCACTGTGGTGCTCAACGTGCACCGTGAGTGCCGGCGTGCGTGTGCATGCGTGAGTTTGAGTGTGCGTGAGTGTGAGTATGAGTGTGTGTGAAGGTGAGACTGTGTGAGCATGAGTGTGATTGGCTGTGTGTGAGCGTGATCTGCATTTTTGTTCTTCTGGCATCTCCTGGGCCGACACCTAACAAGTGTCTCTCCCTGCCGCCCCCCCCTCCCCCCCAGACCCCCCCACTGTGCTGCTGTCCATCGAGCCGCGCTCCGTGCTGGAGGGTGAGAGGGTCACCTTCACCTGCCAAGCCGCTGCCAACCCCCCCATCATGGGCTACAGGTTAGGCAGCTGTTCGTCTGACGCTTACAGCCCTCCCCCGTGTGTGTGTGTCTGTGTGTGACCCGCCCACTCCCCCACAGGTGGGCCAAAGGGGGGGTGCTGCTGGAGGGCGCCCGGGACAGCGTGTACGCGACGGTAGCCGACCCCTCCTTCTTCACAGAGCCCGTGTCCTGCCAGGTGTTCAACGCAGTGGGCAGCACCAACGTCAGCATCCTGGTGGATGTGCACTGTGAGTATCTGTGTATCTGCTACATGACATCACTTCCTCTTCCTGTCATATGTCTGATCTCTCTTCTTTCTCCTCAACACACCCCACCCCCCCCCCCCACAGTTGGCCCCATCCTGGTCGTGGAGCCGCGTCCCGTGACCGTGGATGTCGACTCTGACGTCACCCTGAATTGCAAATGGTCTGGAAATCCCCCTCTGACTCTCACCTGGACCAAGAAGGGCTCCAACATGGTCAGTGTCTCTTCCCCCGCTAAACCCCCCCACCCGGCCGTGTCCCTGGCGTCTCACCCCTCCCATCACGCCTTCCCCCAGGTTCTCAGTAACAACAACCAGCTCTTTCTGAAGTCTGTGAGCCAGGCAGACGCGGGGCAGTACGTCTGCAAGGCCATCGTCCCACGGATCGGCGTCGGGGAGACCGAAGTCACACTCACCGTTAACGGTCAGTGTTCCTGTGGGGCATCAGCAGGGATGCAGAAATGTGGCGGAGTGGAAAGGGTGGGATCTCATGCTTTCATTGCAGTCGGTCTCAGTGCAGCCAACCGTGGGCCAAGAAAACCGCAATTATGACGGTCATGCCAATAAGGCGTCTCTGTCATCCTTCCCAGGTCCTCCCATTATCTCCAGTGATCCCGTCCAGTATGCAGTTAGGGGAGAGAAAGGCGAGATCAAGTGTTACATTGCCAGCACTCCTCCGCCTGACAAGATAGTAAGTATGGCGTTTTCTGGTGCCCTGCAATCACTCTTTTCCTGCTCCCTGTCCCATGCTATCACTCTTTCTCTCTTCCCAGTCCCCTGCTATCGGTCTTTTCTTCTCCTTGGTCCCCTGCTATCATTCTTTCCCTCTCTACGTTCCCCTGCTATCTCTCTCTTCCTCTCCCCGGTCCCCTGATATCACTCTTTTCCTTTGCTCTCTGTCTGTGCATGCCTCCTGTGCTCTCTCTTTTTATCGTAGTGTCTTCTGGATTCCGGCATTCTGATCCTATCACCACCAGATATCTCTTTACATCTGACCGATGTTACATTTCCACTCTACAGATTTGCTTCCTTCCTTCTCTGTCTCCCGTCTTTCTCGACTCGGGTCCTGCCAGAGTCTCTCCCCTCGGCTGATTTGCCAGATCGCCATGCCCCGTAGCTCCATAGCTGTCCTGCGGTCTCCATGACGACAGCAGCTTTGTCGGCAGAAGCGCTGCTCTCGTTTTTGCGCGTTTCCCAGATGCACCGTTTTTCCAGACTGACGTGCCAGTGAGGGGATAGAGTTGACAGCTGTGAGAAACAGAGTTGCTGCACATTTACTGCACTTTTATCCAAAGTGAGGTTCAACTGAAAGAGCAGGGTCTGCCACTCCCTGGAGCAATTGGGGGTCAAGATCCTTGATCAGGGGTTTGACAGTGACATTACTCTGCCACACGTGGGATTTGAACCGGCAACCTTCTGGTCACACAGCGGCACACTGTCCCGTTAACAGCTAAGTTTCCCTCTGCGATACATAGTTTGACAGTGACATCACTCTGCCACACGTGGGATTTGAACCAGCAACCTTCTGGTCACACAGCGGCACACTGTCCCGTTAACAGTTAAGTTTCCCTCTGCGATACATAATTTGACAGTGACATCACTCTGCCACACGTGGGATTTGAACCGGCAACCTTCTGGTCACACAGCGGCACACTGCCCTGTTAACAGTTAAGTTTCCCTCTGCGATACATAAATCTAATCATTTTTTCTAATCAGTTAAATAGTATAATACATAATAAAGTCTACTTTTTGAGTCAGAGTGACCCTCTGAGGCAGCAGGTAACCGACAGTGAGTCTTGGCGCAGACCCTCACTGACTCCTCCAGTGTTTACGCCTCCTCGTGGGTCTTGGATGTTAACATCGCTTGCAAATTGCAGTACGTGACCGTGTCCTGTTTGGCAGATCGCCACACACACGAAAGCAGCAGGGTTAGTTGAAATGATGGTGTGGATTAAAAGTTCAAGGGGAAACAGGGTCATTCTTTGGAGAAGATCACAGCGATCGTAGAAGAAAATCTTAGCGTTTGTGACACGCGGGACTTCTTGAAGTTCTGGTAATGTAAGCACTCTGTAAGTACAATGCATTGTGATGTCACAGTCAAAGCTTAAGGCAGGAACACAGAGGGTCATGTGACACACTGGAGCATACCAGTGTGACAGACGGACAGGGGGGGACTCAGATTGTTTTGTTTTCTGCCGTTTTTCCTGTTCTGTTGTAGGTTAAAAGGTACATTATCACAACACGTCGTCTTATTCATGTTTAATGCTTTCATTTCCCTCATGTGACAGCAGAACTGTCTCAGTGCACTTTAAAGATAAAAACCTGTAGACAGCAGTTCCTCTTGTATACTTGTTTCGCACAGAGGTGTGTGTGTGTGTGTGTGTGTGCGCGCGTGTGAAAGAGCATCTGAAACTTCAGGAGGGAGATGCGGGAGTGAGCGTAGCTCTTTGTTCCACACAGCAGGCGATCAGCGGGTGATTAATTTCTGATCTGTTTGTGCCTGCGCGCTGAGGCTTTTTGGTCGCCCCCTGCTGGTACAGGTAGGAACGTGTTGGTTTGATTACCTCACGCACGCATGTGTGTGTGGTCTGTCCCCCCCCCCAGGTGTGGGCGTGGAAGGAGAACGTGTGGGAGAAGGAGAAGGGCACCCTTCTGGAGAGGTACACTGTTGAGCAGAGCAAAGCCAACTCCCAGGGCGGAGCCGTGCTCTCTACCCTCACCATCAACAACGTCATGGAGTCCGACTTCCACTCGCCGTACAACTGCACCGCCTGGAACTCCTTCGGCCCAGGAACCATGATCATCACGCTCGAGGAGACAGGTCTGCCACATTTCCCCACGTAGGCGGGCGGCGGGCACAGCCAAAAAACTAAACCACCATCTCGCCCAAAGCTCATAATTGTGCTGCTGGCATGAGGCATGTTTGGCCTGAGACCACCAGGGGGCCCCACAAGCTAACGGCGTGACCACGTCTCCTCTCTCTCCTGCACAGAGATGGTGCCGGTGGGCATCATCGCAGGTGGCACCGTGGGCTCCTCCATCCTGCTGCTGCTCTGCCTGCTGGCACTGGCCTTCTTCCTGTACCGCCAGCGCAAAGGAAGTACGTGATTCCTCCGGCCACCAGGTGGCGCTGCGCCGGGCCAGGCTCGGCATTCCCCTGCCATCTGAACACGCTTTACAGTTTATACACATGCCTGAGCAGGGATACCACACACAGACATAACATAAACATCCGTAGGCTCGCACAGGTTGTCGAAAAAAACAACGGTATGGGGAACTGCAAGCATGAACTGCACTGTAAGCCCAAACCCCAAGGCTGTGGGTTTGATTCCCCCTCCTGCTTTGTTTGTTTGATAGCAGGTTTCCTCTGGGAACTCTGGTGTCCTGCCAGAGCCCAAAAACATCAGGTGAACTGGGGCCTCTAAATGGCCTATAGCCTCTGTGTGTGTGTGTGTGTGTGTGTGTGTGTGTGTGTGTGTGTGTGTGCCCTCTGTGACTGCTGCCTCCTTGGATAAGCTTGAAGCACTTACAGAAGATGGATGTCCTGAGTATGTAATTAAAACTGATTTTTTTCCTTTCTTTCATCTTTTTCCCCCTTGTCTCCAGGCCGGCGTGGGGTGACACTGGGGAAGCCGGACATCAAGGTGGAGACGGTCAACAAAGAAACACACAGCCTGGAGGACGACACCTCCACCGTCTCCACGGCAACGCGTATGGTCAAGGCCATGTACTCCGTGAGTGTCCATGGCGACAGTGGACCCGGGGATCCTGGGAAAGGCTGTCCTGTCTGTGCCTGACTCCTGACATGCTTGTGTTCGGGGTACATGCCCACCTGACTGACTAAAAGACTTAACTGCCCCTATAATGACCTCCTAACCTCGCACCTTGATGCTAATTCTTACTTGCCCCAAGATTAACCTTTTTCACTAATGAACCTTTTCATCTTCACAGAGTAACAGCCGATGTCAATTGATCTCTGTCTGTTTTCCTCTTCCTTCCTTCCTCTCTTCCCTCTCCTACCTTTCCCCCCCTCTGCGTGCCCGTATGCATGTGTGTGCGTGCGTGCGTGTGCGTGTGTGTGTGTGTGTGTGTGTGTGTGTGCGCGCGTGTGTGTGTGTGTTTTTGTCCTTTGATGGTTTAGTTTCTGCCCTCTGTCTCCCTCTCTCCCTCCACTCAGCCCTTCAAGGACGACATTGACCTGAAGCAGGACCTGCGCAGTGACACGCTCGACACCCGCGAGGAGTACGAGCTGAAGGTTTGCATGCCGGCCACACACTGACCGTACATTGACTGTACACCTATCACATAAAGTGACCATACACCAACCATACAGTGACCATATACTGACCATGCAGTGACCATATACTGACCATGCAGTAACCATACAGTGACCACACACCAATTACACCAATTATACACCGACAATACTGACCATACTGTGACTACACACCGACTACACACCAAGCATACAGTTACCACATACCAACCATACAGTGATCATACAGTGACCATACAGTGACCACACACCAACTGATTATACACTGACTGCACACTCAGACACTGACCATACACTAACACTAGTAAAAAATTAAATGATGTGTCTTGAACCATTTGCTGTATTTTTTGGCCCCACTAGATGGTGCTCTTTGTTCAAAAAAGGGCACAAAGGACATCTCAAAGCAAACCACAAGCACCCTCTAGTGCCATCGAAAAATACAGCAAATGGTTCATGAGAGGTCATTTTGTCCATCACTAACTAACCCCATATATGTCTTTTCCGGGGGTTTGAGATTCCTGCGAACGCTTGTAGTCAATGCCTGTAAATGAACTGGCTGAGTTCTCTTCCAAAATAAACACAATTGTAAAATTTGGCTTCCTACATTTTTGGCAAAATAACACTCAATTAAGTTTACAGATCTCCTGAAATCATCAAATGTGCTTTTAGTTAGCAGAACATAACTGATGCAGCTATTTGAGTAATTAAGAGGCGAGGACACAGAAACTAGGGGCTAATTAAGTCTTTAAGAGTGAAGCAAACTGCAGACATGTTATGCATCTTTACACACTCCTGCTATCAACCGTTACTCTCACATGTGTCACACATGTATGGCACACGCACTTCACATATATCCTAATGAGACCTTTAACACACGACTGGCTACCGGTATAAATAGATTTTTTTTGACAAGGAAATACAACATCAGTAATAAGGCAAAAGTACTTCGAGCCTTAAATTATGATGTAATGTAAGGTAATGCATTGTGATATGATGTCACAGAATCTATGACTTATTAAATGTCATTTATATTTAAGTGTGTGCTGCTAGCCTGCTTTTGCAGGGCCCTCTGTTGCTTGTGTTTACACCACTGCCCTCAGGGTGTCAGGACGGGTGACTCACTCCTGTCACACAACATGGTGTTGCCGCCTCCCTGTAACCAGCCACGCGGACAGACTCGTGCACATCCTCACGCGTGCCCGCTTACGCCGTGCCCATTACACTGGTCCGCCGCGTTAGCGTGTTAGCAAGAAGCTCACGGCGACTCTCTGTGCACTCAGGACCCCACGAACGGCTACTACAACGTCCGGGCCACAGCGCACGAGGACACGCGACCCTCGTCCCGCACCATGCTTTACCCAGAGTACCGGGCCACCAATCCCACGGGGGCAACTGCAGCCGGCTCCACCAGCGGACCCTCGACCACCACAGGTGCCACGGGGGCCACAGGTGGAGCGGCAGGGGCCCGGGGGGCCTGTTACGACCCAAGGCCCCCGTCCAGGTTGTCCCACAACAGTTACGCCCAGTTTAACACCTTCTCCCGGCCCGGCCAATCACAGCAGCCGCCTTCAAACCCTGTTCCCCAGGCCAGTGAGTTTCCTGGAGACTGCAGCCTGCTGGACTCCACCACACAGCTCGCCTATGACAACTACGGCTACCCCGGGCAGTACTCCTACCGCCTTGGCTTTGCCCCGCCCCTGGATGGGGGGCCGGCCTATGAGATGTACGGGACGGGGCCCACCGTGGGACCGGGCTCGGGGGCGGGGCCCGAAGCCGGGCTCAGCAAGTACGGCACGTCTGCACGCTTCTCGTACACCTCGCCACCGTCGGAGTATTCACACAGGCACACGCAGCGCATGCAGACCCACGTGTGACACACGCGCATGCAGACGCGCAGTCACCACCACACACGTACAAGCACGCACAGTCCACACACACACACACACACACACACACGCACCTATTGATTCTTCAGCTTTTGAAGCTGCGAGCGAAAGCCACAATCAAGGAGAGGGCAAAAAAATCATGGAAATTACAAACAAGATGGAGGACAGCGTGAGCCAGAGGAAGAAAGGATGGCACAGGATGAGCCAGCAGCAGGGTTAGGGGCACTGCACCTCCATCTCATCCCCCTTTCCCTGCCTGTCTCAGCTGCTCTCTGCCATTCTCATTTCTGCCTCTGTAAATAATGGCAGTAGACAGGAACAGGTGACGAGAACGGACTGTTTTTTGGGGGCGATTCAAGCATTTTCTGGAACATGATCCTTCTGTGTGAAAAGGCATGCAGCCGCTCATACGTCGTCCAAGCAGAGCCTGAGCCCTTCCCGCAGACTGGGACTAAAAGCACGCTCGTAATCTGGCCAGCCTGGACCTCCTGCGTGCCCCGGGCGTTCCGGGGAAGGGGGGGCGGGCACGAGCCATTTGCTAGGCGTGATGGACGTCACGTATAGCGGAAGCCGAGCCTGACACGCCAAGATCGTAACTGTGCAGGACGCATGAGGAGTTGTCCGTGTATTATAGATTACGCCCAAACCGGAGTGCGATTCACCACGCACCATTCATGTGTGACGTCATGTTAGGAAATTAGTACGATGTATAAGGTATGATTTTTGTAAACTTACAATAGTATCGGGGGCTGTTGTGCAGGGTGTATCAGTGTGTTCCCCATTAATTAACCATTTCTACACTCTGATTTTACCATAGTTTACCATGGTAAGTTCTTATGAGATGGGGAACACCATATGCATTTAATAATTTGCCAAAATTTGTACAGAACCCTTCCCCTATTATTGTATTTGTCTCTCACTTGCACAGTAGAATAGAACTTTGTTTTTTATCATGTTTATATCTACGCGGAAAAAAAAATACATTTAGAAGCATTTTTACAATATTTTTATAAGGATTTGTGGACCAAAGGTTCAAAGATAGAGTCGTGTGTCTTTACTTGGGTGACATTCACCAGAAGTTTGTCTACAGTGGGCCTTTGGAGGGATGCAGGAAGAGGAAGTATGTCAGATATCCCATGGTGCCCTGTGGCTATCTCCATGTTGGTGGTCTTCTCTTCGGTACATGTAACCAATCATCGGCATCCTTGTTGTACACTGGTATTTAAGTAGCCTATCAGAGCATGACATACTGCGTCGGTGTACAATTTACCACGGGGACTTGGTACTGCTTCGCCTTTCCGATCAGAGACCAGATTACTGTGTGATCGACTCGGAGGATTTTTACAGATGCACAGTTGACAGGCTTGTCGGAAAGACCCGGAATCAGAATTAAGTTTGACCTAGCGGTCCCCCAAATATGGAGGCCACTGTATGCTTGGTCATCCTCCCCTCCCCCCCCCCTTCGCTTAAGATGCCAATAGCGCATGCTTTTAGATGAAGGAGATGTTTTATTATGCTGCCTTTGCAGGATCCACAAATGAGGTGGCGTATGGGGGTGGGGGGCCACAGGGGGGGTCGGGAAGGGCGGACAGGTGTGACATTTGTACCAAACACTGTCTTGTTCACCTTATGAAAGCCAGTATTTGCAATGTAAATGCTTATTAAAGGGCCTCCGTATCTAGAGGAATGCAAGGGCACCTTGGAGGTAGACGAATGGGGGGGGGGACTTGTCCCTTTCAGCCTCCAGCATGAAAACATTTTGAGAAGTCCAGCATGGAAGTTAATGTAAAAGGTCAGCCTTGGTGGGAGGTGGTGGGGGGCGGGGTTGCCTTAGTCACACTCACCATGGCGATTAGCGCAGTGCAGCACTGATTACCACGGCAGCCAGAGCAGGACAGCCAGTAACCATGCATATACAGTAATGTACCATATACAGTATAATACCCTGACTGGGCCCCACACAAGTAGTATACCTAGGTTCTCTTCCTGTCTAGAACTCATTTTTAATAAAAGAAGAACCTTCACATTTTATCTTCCAGAACTCCTGTTTTCTTCCAGGTGAACAGATCAGTAGATTGTAAATAGAGGTTTTTTTTTGGGGGGGGGGGGGTGGTGGTGCCTCCATTTAAAAAAAAAAAAAGAATCTCACTTGATTTGTACTTTTTTTATTTTACACAATTTATCTTTTATGAATGCCTTCCTGATATAAATTATGTATTACTATTAGGTTAATATTACTATTATTAGGAATATGATTGTGGCTATATGTATATAGTTTTTATACTTATATACATACTATATATAGTGTTATTTTTTGCTCTGATGACCAGAATGGTTCTAAAGACTGCAGAGCTGCAGATATGTTGGACTATAGGCAGAGATCATCTGTACAGACCTGCTCCTCGCCAGTCCAGAGCGGACCGCAGTGTCCGTGCTTTCGAAACTACCTGGGCGCCGGGAAAGACTGTACGCTGGAGGGTAACAAAGCAGTCAGACAAACGCAGCAGTCATTAATATGTACTGTAACCTCTCCGTGGGTGAATGGATGGAGCAGATGGGGCAAGGGTGGAATGGAGGGAGCCACAGATGGGTAAATCAGAAGGTGGGGACTGCAGGGCGGTGAGCGGACGGAGTCCTCTCATCTTTCATCCTGTCATTTACTCTGTCCTGTCCTCTCTCAGTGTATTCAAACAAGGTGAATCCCTCATTACCCTTTCTTTCATAATAATCAGCAGCAGACCCCACAGCGGGGTCTATAATGCTTAGACGACGAGCGTCGTAGCAGGCGAGGCGGGAAAAGGTGTTTCCATGGGAATATCAGAAATTCTGTGTCTGTTTGTCTGTGTTTGTGTGTGAGAGAGATGGGGGACGTGACAGAACAATCCGGAGTGTCTCTGCACTCCCCCACATTTTTCTGTAATAGGACATTCCCATACTCTTATGCTCATTAAACTGTTCTTTTATATCAGTGATAGGACTGTACTCTGTATTTCTGTCTTTATGGGTTTTGAAAATGTTACTCTTTTCTGTGTACTGTTCTTAAAGAAAAAAAATGTACAAAAAGGAAAAAGAGGTTATTACATTTTACTTTTTATTTTATTTTATTCAATATTTTTTCAAATTGTATGTAATTATTTTTCCACGGTATTACAGAAATAAAAACCACTGCTTTCATAACAACCTGGCTTCCTACAGTTCGCATTTTTATCCTACCGGGGGGGGGAGGGACGCACTGAAAGACGTCCCCCCCCGCCACACACACACAAACATACACACTCACTTGCAGTCCTTACTATAGCATTTTAGCGATAAAACGGCAAGTGGCATATACGTAGCAGCAGGCAGTAAAGGTTTACAGTTCTGCTCTATAGGGGCAGTTCACTTATCCTAAGTGTCGTTCCAGCTAAAATCTACAGCTGTGTAAATGGGTAATATTTTAGGTGGCTTTAGACTGGCATCCACTAAGAAATGAAATGTGTGTACAGAGGTTCAGCAGAGTCGCCGATGCTAAGGACTGTTTTGTGGAACAAGAGAGCAACTTACTCCCAGGATGCCAGAGTGAAGCGCTTTTATAAAGGACGACACTGAACAAACCACTTCGCCACAGCTGACTTCTTGAACAGCATCCGGCTTCCAAGTGGTTGACATGATTTCATGATTTATTAGGCTCTACGAATCCAGCTTCGGAAATGTGTCGGTCTTCCGTTCTTGCTTATTACTTAATTCGATGGTAACACTTTCATGATTTCCCCCCCCAGCAATTCTTCAAAGACTGCCCTCATTTCTTCCTGTTTTGAAAACCCCCCAGCGCATTTTTCAATATGAGAATATCTTTTGCTTATTGGGACAAACTTCACCCTCCCTGCGTCCTTTCACTGGATAAGGAATTGGAAGATGGATAGATCTTACCAAGCAATTTGTTAAATATATACAGGTTCTTGATTTATTCATTACAATTTATAAAATATATGTAAAATCTCCATTTGAAGGTTCTGTAACAAAGTAAAAACGAGGAAAAGAACAACTGATGTGAAATATAGCGGTAGCGGCTTATACAAGAAAGGGTAACGAAGGCGCTAACGGTACGAAGCTGTGCATAAAAGACATTTATACTGGAGCTGTGTAAAGTTTTTTTATCTTAATAATTTTATTATCAAGTCACAAAGTAATGAATACGGTATACTGTTCCCTGAGTGAGTCTTGTTCTGTTATGAACTTGTCAACTGGTAATTTTACAGTCTGTAAACTAACCTATCAAAATTTAAGAATGCAGTGAGTGTGTGTGTCTGTGTGTTTGTGCGTATATATATATATATATATATATATATATAGTGACTGTCTATTGTTAGAGTTAAGAGTGACGTAATCTATAGCAGGGCACTATTACTGAAGGACAGGGCTTTTGAACATTACGTCAGCCGTCAGCCTATTGGAAGACCTGTATGCTTCTGTTTTATGGTGTACCTGCGCCCTCTGGTGGAAAGTATTCCGTCTAAAGGCGGGAGACGGCAATCTTTCAAGATTACAAGTATCCACAAATCAAATAACTGGTGTTTTATTTTTCTTCAGTCGATTTATTCCGCTAAAATTAGAATGTATTATTAAGTTAGAATAATGATTAAATTTATACTAAATGAGAGGCCTATATTCAGTCAGAGCACTTGATATTGAAGACAAACACCAATATAGATGTGGAAACATCTTTAACTTTTAGCTGTTTGCTTAGCTTCTGACAGAGAGAGGGGGAGAGAGAGAGAGGCACTGAACTGGCTGAATTAATTAATCTTGGAATTGATTAGTTGTTTAATAATGTGAGTTTAAGGAAGGTGGTGAAAATTAAAAAAGGGAACCTAAGATATGCAAAAATAAAATATCATCCATTGGTATGTTTTTAGTGTGGAACTACATGTGTACATTTATTGTAGCAGTTTAATTCCAGTGAAAATACATTTTACTAAAATACATACATGACTTCTATGGACTGGGCAATCTCACTAAGCATCCTGATATCTCACATACAAATACAGAAGTGAGTCAATATCAGAACAGGTGCTGAGCCAGACTCTTTCACCAGACTGCACACTGAGCAGAGAACCAGATGTTCTTTGGTGTATCCAGGGTCACAAGACAAATGTTGTTTGTTGGATAGACATGAGAAGTAATGTTGGTTGAACCTCAGCCAGATGTGTCATGTGCCGTGGCGTCCATCAGAAACGTGTCCCCCACTCTGCTCTGGTACCATCCTTCATTATATCCATCGTTGAGACTCACATCATTCATCTTGCAAAACCAGGACCCCAGTTTGGCCTAACAAAGAGCCAAAAACGTATTTATGCACTGACAGATTTACTTCCCCAGCACCACCATGTAACACACAAAATTACTCTCTGTACAAGTGTCACTGTCTACAGACTTCATGTCGAGTTTCTAATCCATAACTTTATATGCTGTCAACTGCTTCAGAATGAAACCGCAACCCCTCCCCAACCCCCTCCCTGCCCCCCTCCCCACACTCCACCTCACGCCATCCATGCACATGTCACTTTTTCAAGAACTTTTTGCACTATAGGTCTTGCACTTTGGTTTATGTTGCTATACTGCGGTTAATACATTTTTATGTTAGTTCCACATATATTATATTTCCTATTTATTCTCTGTTTAGACTCTATATTTTTAAGTTTAAGTTTTTTTCTAGTATTTATACACTCTGCTAGGCCGATGGTGAGTCAATGCAACATAATTTTGCTCTCATGTGCACTAACCAGTGTATGTTCTGAATGGCAATAAATTGGCTATTCTATTCTATTCTGGCTATTCCAAACACCCACCCTATAATTCATTTCATACAAAAAAAAATGCTCTTTCAACCATATAGACTGGCATACTGCTCCAGTATTATGACACATCCAGTAGCACCCATAACCATTTACCAAACTCCATTTCCCAGGGTTCTCTACTTCTTAAGCTTATCATGCCATGTTCAGTATGCAGTGTTCACTACACTTGGTTACAAATACAGCTTTGTCACTTATTTTATTCCCATTTATTTTTCAGGTTAAACAAAAGCGCATGTGTGGATTTGCAGCATTAAGTTAGTTTGTATATTCGGTCAGTTTGGCTAACTTGTTTTAGGATTGCTTTAGGCTAACTATGTTGCTGTTAGGGTTTTTAGAGTAGTTTGCAAACTTTTACATTATATATGACACCACAAAGCAGTTCAGTATCTACAAGATGTACCAGCAGTTAGACTTCTGGAGCTGCATACTTTTGCCCCCGGGTGTGTTTCAGTACCAAATCCAAACTGTAGACTATTTTCTATGGAAATACACCCTGTAATCATTAGACATGAGAGTGGGTGTGAAACTGAAGCACCAAAAGTAACCGCAGAAACGTGTGGGAATAGCAAACCCTGTCCATTCTGTCCCACACAATAAAAGATCTGTTAATTCTAAACATGCCTGATAACGAATGGCAATAACCAATCACTGTCACATGGTCCAGTTCCATCCATCCATTGTCTGAAACCACTTATCCTGACCAGGGTCGCGGGGGGTCTGGAGCCTATCCTGGAGGCTATGGGCACAAGGCACGGAACAACCCAGGATGGGGCACCAATCCATCACAGGGTCACTCACACATGCACACGTTTAGGCAATCTGGTAACTCCAGTCAGCCTCAGCATGTTTTTGGACTGTGGGGGGGAAACCGGAGCACCCAGAGGAAACCCCACAGGGACACGTGGAGAACATGCAAACTCCACACACATGGAACCCAGGCAGAGACTCGAACCCGGGTCCCAGCTAACCACTGCACCATCGTGCTGCCCCTCCCAGTCCATCTGCTTTAGCTAAATCACACTTCAACCACATTTTTTTTTTTGCACTGAGGACAGTAATGAGCCTCTTTGCCTTTTTTAGTGTATGTTTAAAAAATGACTCTCTACAGTGTAATTCTGACCTCGTTCCCGCAGCCTACACTACAGCGTCCTCTCTCCTGTCCTTTGTATTTCACCTCTACTAGACTGGTGCTCTGCCTTGTGGACAGGTAATCCTGACACGCATTCCGTGATTTGCAGAATTCAAGTTTTCATCAGAAACAGACACATTTAAAAATGTCTCTTTTAGCATTAAATAAACCAGTATAAGGTGCCATAAAATGCAGTCACTGATCCAGCCCTGGCGCTCTTAATTCCTATGTGAACAGGAGTGGCGTGAACAACGGATTCACGTGCATATTTGGCATCTTTTGCCGTCACTATTGTGGTGACGAGGAGTGACACTGATGATTGTTACTTCCTGTAGGCTGGACAGCAGTAGTCATCACCATCATCATCATCATCATCGTTGTTGTAGTTGCAGCTAAATATCAATGCACTTCCTCTTTTGAAAAAATACATCTTTAGAGAAAGCGTCACATTTCTTTGAATCGGGGACTTTCCTGGCAATCTGGGGAAGATATACTTAATAGCGCGACAGTCCAGATGTCTCTGGTCTGTATATATAGCCTATATATTAAAAAAACAGAATGAGTACTTTCAGTCGTCCTAAGAGTGTTTTTTTTTCATGCTTGTGCGTAACTGTGAGAAGGGGAAGCATAGACAAGTGACATTAAAAATAATTCACATTGGCCAATAATGTTCCCTCGAAGCTGGTGTTGGACTGTCAGAGCATCACACTCAGCTGGCTAATAATAATGCTTCAGTAGGTCACAGAGGCATTCTGGAGCGCAGCTATAAATAGCATTTAAAACACATTTAAAATCCGCCCCACAGAGCCCAGCATATCGGTATCATTCGGAACGGCACACTGAGGTAAGCAATTAACACCTGAGTAGCACAGTTTCGTGCCAAGGTCATGTTGCAACGGCATGTTGACACATGCGATATTTCAATCGGTTTTCGAGCATCAGCGTGAGAAAGCGACTGTACACTTCCCACGTACTGTTACACAACCGGAAGCAAAGGGCTTTACCGTCAGCCTTCCACACGTTACCGCTGCTGCGGAGATTGTCCTCCTCGGCCAGGTTTAAAATGATTATCACTGCAGGGGCTGTAAAACACAGGATTTCATTCAACTCAAAGTCAATAAAATTGTCGCACTGCCACCTAGAGGCCAACCAGAACACCGTTCTCGGAGCACTGAGCAAGCTTCGCAGGTGGGAATGCCGCCTTGAAATGCCAGGAGACAGCGGCAGGCTCCTCTGGCTATACAAACAGGCGGTCTATACAACCAGACAGTCTTTGGAATTCGCTGCTCATTCTTGTTAGAATTTCCAGGAAGTTGCCAGAACATTTGGATAGCAGTTCCTTAAATAAGTTTATGTTTGTTCAATTTTTAAAAATTTGTCCTTTCATGTCCTTTTCAGTAGAAGTGTTCATTCTCTGCCTGCTGTCTCCATATAGCTGTTAGTCCCGACCTTCTTTTTTTGCCTCCATACTTGAGCAGGAAGACCCTGTATTGTCCATGACCTCCAGCAGACGCATATTTGCTGGTATGGAGTGTTTGTCTATCACCATGCTTTTGGGTAATAGACTTGCTCCTGTTTTTGGTCCGTCTCGCCTAATTGTGTCATTGGTCCAAACCAGTCGTGACAGGATTCAGGGTCTTTATCACCGAGCCATTAGCACGAGCAGCTGCAGTCACATCTGGATCTTCCTGTGAAGCCATCAGGAGCTGTTACCTCTCCGGTAACTCAGCTTTGTGAGGTGTTCCCAGAACTGTAGACCACCAACCAGAAACAGAAACTGGCAGTGCCCTTTTATCTGGTGGTCACACTACCTTCCTCTCCAGCTCAAAATCCGATATGCGTGTGGCCACCCCAAGCCTCCCCAGGAGGAAGATCTACTACCTACACTGTTGTCCCATATTGGCAGGGGTCATCACGTCCACGCTATGGTCGGTCCCCCAAAACCGGCAACGGGATAGTCTTATCCTACGAAACACGTGACCCTAATTTACATTTGTGCACCTTTTTTTTTCCTTGTTGCTCTTTGCCAGTTGAAAGTAATTACGATTTTGGTAACTGCTGAGAGCGGCAGACCGTTGTCCTTGGTAGAGCGCAGCCTGTGCTGTGAAAGTACTGAATACCCAGTCCAGGTCTTTGCTGAAGTCGCAGAACTTGCCAACCACCAGCTTCCAGAACCCTGGCCAGGCCCACTGGGTCCTGTTGTCACTGTTTAGCTTCTCTGTTTCATGTTCACTAGGTTTCATAAGTCCTAATGCAGATGCCCTCCCCCGTAATTGTGGAGACCACTGCATCATTCGGAGGAACGTTACACTCCTCAGTAAGTGTTTGTTTGTAGCCAATAATCAACAATATAAATGCAAACGTGAAGGTCACTCGGCTATCAGTATGATGTCAGCAGTTAGACCGTTGAGAGCTTTTTAGTCTATATCCAGTTTGTGGTCGTATCCACAGGGGCATCAATGTTTCATAAAGTGTAAGACTTTTGTAGTTTGAGGAAAATTAATAAAAACTATATATTACATGGTTCCTGTTCTAAACAGCTCTGTTCCTTTTTTTGCACAGAGCAAGCTCTCGCTTGCAAAGACACTTCCTGTTAAATCAGTCAAAAATGCTGTCAGATGTGTCCAGCTAATGCACCTAATTTTAACTAGTGCCACCAGTCTACATCACTGTCATTAACCAGTGCATCAAGAGGTGCGGCTCGTAAGCCAGGAAACGTCAGTGTCTGTTATTCCTGTGATACAAGCAGTCAGGTCTATAGAGATGCATCAAAGACAATGGACAGGACTGGCAAGTCAGTATTACTTTGTTTAAATCTCACATTTTGTTCGGTTATGATAAACTGGGGAGGGTCTCTAAAAAGTAGCCTCCTGATAAGGGGTTAAACCTAACTTACACTCGAGCTTTGACGTGTTCCAGGAAGTGGTCGGTTCATATCCCCTGTGCAGTACCATGCCCACCCTGACTCAGGCCATTCGTGTCAGCCTGCAGCGCTAAGTCTGACTTACACTTTTCTTTACGTGTGAAGTAATTTAAATAAATGATTGAATTTCTTACTTCAATCATTTAAAGTTCACTGGCTCTAATCAATAAATTTGGTAGTTTCATTCTTTTTTTCTGATGCCACCTTCGTTTATGCCCTTGATCATATATTATTTTCTGGCAAATTCTGCGCAGCTCTGGCTTCTGTTAGCATCGCATGGCACATATTTGTGTCACTGATTTTATCACAGAGCTCGGCAATATTGATATAGCTTGGGCTTCTTACAAAAAAGCTTTAAGAACAGAGGATTTTTCAGAACTTCTGTCGTGTCGCTCTTTTCTGAACATGTGGGAAGGGTTTTAGGAAGTGGTCAGACCTCCTAGCGACGAAACGGACACACTCCGCCAGAGCCGCCCAGCTGCGCCTCCGCCACACTTTCGGCTAGTCGCAGCGTCCTCCTCCCCCAGCGCCATCGCCCGTCGAGCCTCCGCCGGCCAAACACCATGAAGCGAGGGCCCCTCATCGTCGCCGTCCTGCTGCTCAGCTGCGGCACAGCCAGTGAGTTTCCGTTGCGTGACCAGCTCCTTTCCTCTGAATTTACACCTTCCACCGAGGCCGAGAGCAGAAACTGAACATCCATCTCTGAACACTAGAAAACAAATGATAAACAGGATGATGGCCATTTGAGTCTAAGGTTCCACAGGCAAGTCGAATAGGGTGATAACTATTATACCAGTGAGGGATGTGTACACCCCCACAAAAGGTAACTAAAATATGTGAGAATGATAACTATGCAAGTCTGTATCCACGACCGATTACAAGAAGCTATAGGTGATTCGGTTGGCTCTGTGGGTCCCGTGAACTCATTTTTTAATGCTACGACATTTAGTACGATACTTATACGATGTATTAACCTTACCTCAACTTAACTTACGTTTTCTTGCAAATTGATCGGTAATGTTCATATACATTATAAACATGCTGAAACAAATAGAGGATTGCTATTGAGAACTATATCAATAACCAGATTAAACCTGCCGGATCGTTTATCGCTATAGAGAAATTTTAAAATTAACTAAATTTGTTTGAAGGGTTTCTTGCTGAAATTATAACCTGTTATTAGGTCTGAAATGATTTATTTTTAGAAAATGACATAATATAAAAACTATTGACTAGAACAGAATGTATATTTTTAAAAACAGTCAACAGGCAAAAATTATACATACAAAATAATAATAGAAACTGTGAATTTCCTCTATTGGGAACTTTCTGAATTTTAATTCTAATAAAAATGTCAAAAAAAAAATACAATTCTTAATTAAAAATTTAGAAAAAAAATATTAGTTTAAAAAATGCTACATAAATAGTCCCTTGCGTTTAATGTGACTCTCTTATGATCCTACAATCTTTATCGTTTATTAACTAATATTTATGAACCAAAGCCCAGCCCTTTGGCAGCGTGTGGCTCAGTGGGCTAAGTCTGTCTGTAATCACAAGGTTGCTGTTTCAAAACTGGGCTCAGCATGTCTTTGGGTCCTTCAGCAAGGCCCTTAACCCCCAGCTCCCTGGGCGCCCCAACCGGTGGCTGCCCTTCACAGACAGCTTACTCTACAAAGAGCACGTTGAGGGAGGCGTAAAGACAATTTCCCCACGGGGATTAATAAAGCACTGATTACTATGATTTAGTAAATATAGCATGTAACTGCGAAGATCAGGGTGTTCTTCTGTTTCATGGTTCTCATCTAAAAACGGGGAACCTCTGCAAACCACCCTTAGAATGCCGTCAGCTATCTTAGAAATACATGACAACTCACTGCAGCTGACTGTTCTCAGGATGCAGTGAAACACAACCCTTTTCATAATAGTAACTTGAATAATAATTTAATGTCTTCCTCAGAAAACAGTCCATAAACTCAGTTTTAATGGGTTTTTTTTCCCTTTAAATTACTTTAAAGCCGTCAGCAACCAGCAAAATTCTGACCTTCTGGTGCTCAGTTAAATAGAAAATGTTTAAATGGTCAGGAAGCAAAAAACAAGATCTCTCCAGTTAGCAGATGACTTTCATAGGAACAGACAGATTTCTCCCCACAGACCAAAAACACGCTGAGGTTAATTGGAGTTACCAAATTGTCCGGCGGTGTGAATGTGTGTGCCCCGTGACGTGTGGCACCCTGTCCTGGGTTATTCCCTACCTTGCGCCCAGAGATTCTGGGATAGGATCCGGACCTCCGCGACCCAAGCGGGTACAGAAAATGGATGGATGGATATTTATAGAAGTGGTAAGGTATGTTTGGAAAAACAAACAAACAAAAAAAAAGATATATATCCATTTTCCAACCGTTTATCCAGGACAGCAGTGCAGGTCAGTCCATGTGGGGACAGAATCTGCCGCCTAGGGCGTCATCTTCGGTAGGGGCGCTGACTTCGTGACTGTTCACCGTCGGCACAGGGATACAGCATATTTTTGGGCAACTAGATGAAACCTGATAAATGCGAGGAGAGCAAACTGAAGACACGAAAGATGGCTGTGAGATTCACGCTGCCTGGGATATGCTGGTCTGGATTATGACGATGAAAATATGGATAGCGATGATTGTGAAGGTCCATCATCATAATGCCACCAGTATAAATCCCACCACTGCCTGGTGTGGTGGAGTTTGCAGAAGAGAATCTATCCATCCATTTTCTATACCCGCTTGTCGTATCCAGGGTCACGGGGGGTTGGGAGCCTATCCTGGAAGGTACGGCTGCAAGGGAATAACCCAGGATGGGGCCCCAACCCATCTCAGGACACATACCATGGAATAGTATCTTTCTTTAAAAAATAAATTAAATTTAAAAAAAAACACTGATTTATGCTCTGAAGGCAAAAGCTGTTGGTTGGCATCGTGCAAAATGATTCCACACTTGGGAAAATGTACAAATACTGTGTTTGTTATGAAGGCAGCAATGTTCATGATGGACAGTGAAAGGAGAATTTCTGTAAGTGGAATCAATTCCTCTCTGTCCCGATGTGCAGGTGCTCAGGCAGAACCCGCGATCTGCTACGTGCTGGACGGGATTCTCTTCGTGTACGGAATCGTCCTCACAGTCCTCTACTGCAGGCTGAAGGTACACTTCTTACACTGAGCGATAGCCGAGCGCAAACACACACCCCGGCCAGATTCACTGCCTCACTGATTCACTGCCTCACTGGCCGTCTGCTTGTGTCTCCATACAGATATCAGGTCCATCGCAGGGTAGCGGAGAAGGCAAGGTAAGATCCCACTGTCCGTTGGTGTCTATAGAGCCAGTATTTGTCTGTAGACCGTAGAATTCTCGAGGGGGTGTGATGTTTATTATGTCGCTCTGGGTGGGGCATTCATATATTTTAGTAGATCTCCTACATGGATATCGAACCAATTTGATCATCACACTTTGCAAACGGTTAACAACGACCATTGAAAACAATATTCTTGATAAGAATTTGACCAGGGGATTATTTTTTACTGTGGTATTTAAAAACCATAGAGTGGGTTGCTTTTAGTTTCGTTTCCAGCTAAACTGATTTGCAAAGAACGAAGTTTGCAAGGCTGGTGTGCTCCTGCTGGTCACATGGTGCATTTAATCAGAAATTCATTTTTACAATACAAAGACGTGCCAGAGGCTTTCGTCACTCCGAATATTTGGCTCTTGAAACATTCTCAAGTTTATTTATTAGTTTATTTTCTGGTTTCTTTATTTTCTCTTTATTCTGCGTTACTGTCTGGATCTCTCTCCATCTCCCCCACACTCTGTCTGACAGACAGTTTCCTCTTTAAAAGATGGCCAGTCAATGTTATTTTTAAACGTGTCATTTTCCACTGAGTACTCATTGGCCGAGAGACTGGACTGGACCAGCTAGGCTGACAAACGCAAAGAAACTGAAGCTGACAGCAAAGTCCCCCGCTTTAAAAAGCATAACCACAAACATGTGACGGTAAATGTAGCTCAAACCACATACATGCTAAGACATTGATATTCAGATTTAAATAAAGTAGCCTGAAAGTAAATAAAGGCATGAATGTAAAGGCACAAGGGTGACATCACTCTGCTTGTGTTCTTTTTCATCTTCCTGTTTCTGAGGAGGAAGATACTGTCATGCTGTCACAAGGTCGATTTGGTAACTTTCTGAAACTTGTGCAGAAAGGGAAAAAGAAGAGAAAGGAAGTGAAGGGAGGAAAGAGAAAGACATGAGGAGGGTGAGATGGGGGGTCATGAGGAGGGTGAGAATGGGGGGACATGAGGAGGCCGAAACAGACGGGGGGACAAAGCAGAGACAGAGAGTAACAATAGCGTAAACAACGCAGGATGCTTTTCCGTTCGCACGTCGCAGGATGCCCCTCTCCTCCGTTCGCACGGTGCAGGATCCCCCTCTCTTCTCCGTTCGCACGTCGCAGGATGCCCCTCTCCTCCGTTCGCACGTCGCAGGATGCCCCTCTCCTCTCCGTTCGCACGTCGCAGGATGCCCCTCTCCTCCGTTCGCACGTCGCAGGATGC